CAGTGCAGTGCATGTCGCATGTCACATCAAGCGAACTTATTGGCATGCACAGTTGCATTCATGATCAGTCAATCAGTCATGTTGAACAGGTTGCATGAATCCACGAAGGCTTGTCCCATGCAGGTCGACAAAGCACGATTCAAAACGACAACTTAAAACTTGGACTAAAGTCAAAGACGTGTATGACTCAGTGTATGCCTGTGTGAGAACATGAGACATGTAAGCTGGGTGAAACGGCTTCCATACAATGCAACCACCATGCAAAGAAGCCTTCATGTCCCTGTGTCGCTTGTGCAAGCATTGGTCACTGAGACTGCCCGTTTGATACGTGCCAACATGCTTCGTGATTCATCATGAAAGCATGATCACTGGAATGCAATGCAAAGCGATGGCGTTGTTGACAATGCCATATTACAACAACAGAGCTCACACTCGCTTGGTCTTTTTCACTCTCACGGCTCACGTGTTCCGTGTTCGGTGCTTTGTGTTAGCAGCCCAATGTCGCCGCCGAGACATGAAGCCCCCAAAGCTCTTGAGGCAGCAACAAAGGAAGCACCTCGACAACATCCCAGCAGGCTACTGGTAGATACCGCCGATGGTGAATACGAGTGTTACTACTCACCCCTATTGAGCTGAGGTGATGAAAATAATGGTGACGACTCATGATGATGCAGTGTAATTCGATAAATGGTCGCTATGAGCATTGTTGCGTTGCTGGCGCAGCTGCTGCTGATGTTGTTGTTGTGGTTGTTGTGACTGTTATGGTTTATTGATCTTATTGTCTTATTGTTGTTGCTGGTACAACTGCGGTGGTGGTGGAGATGGTGGTGGTGGTGGCGGTTGTGGTGGTGGTGGTGGTGGTGGCGGTGGTGGTGGTGGTGGCGGCGGGGGTGGCGGCGGTGGTGGTGGTGGTGGTGGCGGTGGCGGTGGCGGTGGCGGTGGTGGTGGTGGTGGTTATTGTTCTGCTGTGTGTCACACGGCTGTGTGTGGTTGCCACTCTTCTTGGCGGCGGCCGTGACACTGGCGGCGTCTGTGGTGTT